CGTCACTAAATAGACCTGCTGCGTCACTAAATAGACCAGCTGCGTCATTAAATAGACCTGCTGCGTCACTAAATAGACCTGCTGCGTCACTAAATAGACCTGCTGCGTCACTAAATAGACCTGCTGCGTCACTAAATAGACCTGTCCAGGCGTCCCCCGCCTCTCACACAGTGATGGCTGGATATGGGCAACAGTGACTGAAAAAGGAAGAAGTGGGTAAAGTGGATGGACGAATCTTTTGGACGAATCATTTGTTCCTAGATGTTTTTGTTTTTTGAGAAAAATCCTGGTAACTACGCTAACCTAATACTGGTACCAGTAATTTAAGTTACAAAATTTTATGCACTCCTGTATTTATTCCAATTTTTGGTATAAATATAAAATGATGCATAAAGATTTGATACAATAAAGAACCTAAAATTATTGTTTTAAATTAATGTTCTATTTGTTTACATTGTTGTTTAACCTTTTCAGCTTGTCAGTTAATAAACAAAATGTATGACCATTTCAATAAATAGAAAAATCGTTTCTGACTGGGGGGGGGGGGGGGGGGGGGGTCGATTTTGAATCGAATCATGACACACAAAAATGGAATCGAATCGATTCACCAGACAGAGATTCACCCCCTACTGCTGAGTCACTAAATAGACCTGCTGAGTCACTAAACACGCCAGTTGTGAAATACCAGGACCACGTCTTTGCTCTCAGGAACCAGTCATCAGTCATGTTGTTGTGGGTTCGAGCCCACTATTAAACAAAACACTTTAAAAACTAATAATTAAAACAATCATTAGTTATCCAGTGACGTCACTCCACCTTCAGGCTGTCTGATCCCGAACGAATCACGGCTTAAAAACTGACAGTTTATTACAACTTTACATGAAACAAGAGAGGTTTGAGGTTTAAACAATACAACATTCAACGCTTTGACATGTTTGGACTTCTTAGCTATCATTCGGTTCAGAACAAAGTGACCAAAGTGAGTTTAGTTCTTTAAATGATCTCTTTTAGTAAAACTTTTAACCTAATCCAGAACAATACGGATACTGTGTTTGAGTTAAAAAATAAGAACAGCCGTCTTTTAGGATTATTGGGACAATATTATGTATAATATATATATA